AAATCTAGGTTGTGGTACAAGTTCTCTAACCACTGTACTACATTCACATTCGTGTGTGTGCACGTGTTGTGTGTGTGTGTGTTAAGGGGCTTGAACTCAGGGCCCCACACTCACTGATCCAAGGCCAGTTCTCTACCACTTGAATCACACGTCTACTTCCAGCCTTTAGCTGGTTAATTGGAGATTAAAAAAATCTCATGGACTTTTCTGCCTAGACTGGCTTCAAACCATAATTCTCAGATCTCAGCCTCCAGAAAAGCTATGATCATAGGTATGAGCAACAGCTACTACTCAGAGGTGACATCTTACTCCACCTTTCTATATTGACAACAGGTTAACATACTTCATCCTGAAAAGCAGTACCTCATCCATGGTGTGCCATCCTCAGTTTGGTATCTTTCCTGAGTCCTTGGGAGTCCACTATTGTGGCCTGCTAGCTGCTTCCAGGTCTATATCATTTCATTGGACCTGACATCATTGCCACGTACCTACTCCTTTAAATAGATCCAAGGCTACAAGGCGCTGGAATCTGAGGATCTCAGTTCAAAGACAGCCCAGGCATACAAATTCAAGAGACTCTATTTTTAACCCCACCATCCTGCTCTGTGTGTGTGTGTGTGTGTGTGTGTGTGTGGTTTATGTGGTACCAAGAAATCGAGCCCAGGACCTCATGTATATTAGGCAAACATTCTACCATAGAGCCACAATCCCAGCCCTATTATTTATTTATTTATTGTCAGTATAAAAGTGATGTTCAGAGTCAAAGACTCTTATCCAATTGACCAGCAAAAAGCTTGAAATAGAGGAATAGCCCAAATGGTAGAGTACTAGCCATGATCAAAAAAGCTGAGTGAGACCATGAGGTCCTGAGTTCAAGAGTAACCAACCCTTGGACTGAGAATGAAGCTTAGTGGTAGAGTGCTTACCTAGCATGCATGAAGCCCTGGGTTCAATTCCTCAGTACCATATAAACAGAAAAACCCAGAAGTGGCGCTGTGGCTCAAGTGGTAGAGCGCTGGCCTTGAGCACAGAGAGGTTCAAGGACAATGCCCAGGCCCTGAGTACAGGCTTAAGCCCCAGGACTGGGGGGGGGGGGGGGGAGGGGAGGGCAGCGCAAAGAGTAACCAACTCTTCCTCCAAAAACAGATGGCTTAAAACAACAATAATTATCTTGCTTGTGAATCTGCAATCAGGTGATGCTTGGTGTCAGTGGTTCACAGAGCAGAGCTCACTGGCCTGACCAGGACTAAAGGTAGGTCTCTCACTCAGCAGGCAATAGCTCCTAACACCTAGGAACTCAACTGTGAGCCAAGGATCTCAGTCCTTCTCCCTATATGTCTTCCAATAGGTCTGCATTCACTTCCTTATAGTATAGAGGCTAGATTCATTGAAAAATAATTCTAGATACAGTAGTGGAAGCTACTAGTCTCTTAAGATCTGACCCTCGACATTGGCAAATGTTAGATCTCGAGATGGCTTTTAGTTGGTTATTTTGGAAATGGAATCTCACAGGCTTTACTGCACAGGCTAGCATGATGATACTTTTTTTTCTGTTTTTGGTCAGTTGTAGAGCTTCAACTCAAGGCCCGGGCACTGTTCCTGAGCTCTTTTGCTCAAGCTAGTGCTCTACCACTTTGAACCACAGCTCCATTTCTGGTTTTCTGGTGGTTAATTGGAGATAAGATTCTCATAGGGACTTTTCTGCCTGGGCTGGCTTCAAACCACGACCCTCAGATCTCAGCCTCCTGAGTAGTTAGGCTTCCAGGTGTGAGCCAACAGTGCCCAGCTCTGATCACACTTTCAATAAGTAGGATCCCACAGGTATTTAACAAATGAGGTTGAATATTATTGAAAGTTAGTCAGCTTTATAGCTGAGTAATTCAGGCCCTGGAAGCTCATGCTTGTAATCCTAGCTACTCAGGAGGATAAGATTCCAAAGATCAAATTTTGAAGCCAGCTCAGACAGAAAACTGTGTCCCTGAGATTTTATCTCCAATTAATCAGCAAAAATCCAGAAGAGGAACTATAGCTGAAATGGTAGAGAGCCAACCTTCAGCAAAAAAGCTAAGGACAGCATCCAGGCCCTGAGTTAAAGCCACAGAATCAGTACACACACACACACACACACACACACACACACACACACACAGAAACAAAAAACACCTGCATAAAGACCAAGAGCAGATATTTTATTGAGAACCAAGTATAGTGAAGATTCTGATTTTAACAATATTTGAACAGCATTATCTTAAAAGTCCACAAGATGTCAGTGCCAGTCTGGATGAAATTAAAACTGCTTCTCTCTCTCTCTCTCTCTCTCTCCTGTCAGAAGTTAAGGTGAATGTTAGTATAGAAATCATAAAGATTAGGGGCTAGGAAGGTGGCTCAGTGGTAGAGTGCTTGCCTCGCATGCATTAGGCCCTGGGTTCAATTCCTCAGCACCACATAAGCAGGAAAATGCAGAAAGTGGCACTGTGGCTCAAGTGGTAGAGCGTTAGCCTTAAGCTAAGAGCTGAAGGACAGTGCCCAAGCCCAGAGTTCAGGCTCCACAACCAACAACAACAAAAGAAATTATAAAGATTAGCCAGGTGGCTAGTGGCTTATACCTATAATCCTAGATACTTAGGAGGCTGAGATCTGAAGCTCACAGTTCAAAGCCAGCCTGGGCAGGAAAGTCCATGAGACTCTTATTTCCAATTAACCAGCAGAAAACCAGAAGTGACACTGTGGCTCAAGTGGTAGACCACTAGCCTTGAGCTGAAGAGCTGGAGGGACAGCTCCCCAGGCCCAGAGTTCAGGCCCCATGACCAACAACAACAACAAAAAGGAAGGAAGGAAAGAAGGAAGGAAGGAAGGAAAGAAAGAGAAAGACAGAAAGAAGGATTAAGCTGCATTTAAAAAAAAAAGGTGGCAGGTTGGATTTCTATTTCTACTGGGATGGTAAAGGAAGACTCAGATAGTGTGCAAGATTAGACTTTAAGAACAGGCAGGAACAGCCTTTCTTACTGTGGGTTTAGTGTGGGGTAGAGGGGAGAAGGAAGAAAAGGAAGTGTAAGGTCTGCACAGGGACACCTCCCTCCCTTTTGGGTAAGTTTCTGCCCAGTATCTGTTACCTAGGTAACTGGCAAACCTGGAAGCAGTCACCTTCTCCTCCTACTAGGTCACATCCTGGGCCACCTCTGGTCACATGCCTCCTATCTGACCTTAGGAGGGTCCTAGATCCTGAGGTCACATCCAGGTCCAGTGTGGCCACAGCTTTCCCCCACCTGGCCAGACCTCTTTCTGTCCTGACCTAGATTAGTCCTGGCCCAGAGGTGGGTCACCCCCTTCCTCCCCCACCCTTTTCTTTTTCAGCCATGCTTCTCCACCATGCATGGTGGGGGCAGCAGTTCGGTAAATTAACTTCTTTTCCTGCCTGAATAGCACCTGGTATTCTCTTCATCGGCTACCTAATGAAACCTACCTATTTAATATATCTTAAACCCAGGTTTCGGCATCATTTTAGGTCAACAGAAGTAAGAATCTTGCCCATCTAATGTCCATACCTGTCTACCTTTCATTGGACAGGAATTTATATTCTTGCCTTTGTTACCTGACTTCTACCTAGTCGCCAGATGTCAGAAGTAGCTAGGGACATTTCTACCAACATTTTCTGCCCCAAGTCTCCTTCCTCTTGCCATTTATTTGCTCTCTAGTATTTTTTTTTCAGTCCCTCAATGCCTCATGAGACTTCTCCAGACTTCATCCAAGAGACTTGCCTCCTCCAGACTTCATCTAAGGACTCAACACCCAAGTGACAGCTGCAGCCTGTTGCCTTCTCCCAGAGGGGACCACATCTCAGTCTTCTACCCCTACTGTCGAAGCCCCTAGCCAGCAGGAAGTAGCCAGAGAGAATCTTCCCATTTTTTCATAATTATCAAAAGGCTGGAATGTTAGGTCTGCACAGGGACACCTCCCTCCATCTTGGCTAAGTCTCCACCCAGTATCTGTTATCTAGGTAACAGGCCGACCTGCTAGGTCACATCCAGGGCTATCGCTTATCACATGCCTCCCATCTGACCTTAAGAGGGTCCTAGACCCTGAGGTCAGATCCTGATCCAGTGTGGCCACACCTTTCTCCTACCTGGCCAGACCTCTTTCTGTCCTGGCCTAGATAAGTCCTGGCCCAGAGGTGGGTCCCCCCCTAAGTGGGTTCCCCCCCTTTCCCTTTTCAGCCATGCTTCTCCACCATGCATGGTGGGGGCAGCAGTTCTGTAAATTAACTTCTTTTCCTGCCTGAATAGCACCTGGTGTTCTCTTCATCGGCTACCTTCCTACCTTACACTACCCACAAGAATAACATAATTAGAAAAGCAAGAGCAAGAGTCAAATTCTTCAACCAAAAGACAGTTGTGTGGGTAAAGAAAAAGTGTTCTTATTTTAGGTGTAGCTTAGACATCTTTTTGGAAAGTCATCCCAGGCTGATATGAGAAATGAACTTAAAGAAATAAGTATGTTTCCTAACAAGCCTCCGATGAAGATCCAGTTCAACTCACTCAAGTCAGAAACTTTATGACGCAGAGCTTCTGAGTGTCAACTGAATTGCAATGCAAATGTGGGAATTAAAATTTTTGCTTTTGAAAAACAATTGGATATCTTCTGTTTGTTTCTTACTGCGCTTAGCCAAAACAGTGTTTACTAAATCTGCGAATAAGGCGCGGCAGGGATTAATTTAGCGTGTTTAAACTGAGGAAGATCTAGTACTTGAATTTAAATCAGCACACTGCAGCTGATCCTTTCCTTCTTGCCACGCCCCTCCTTCTGAACTCTATTTCCCAATATGCCCCGGGCTCCCCTAAGCGCGCGGTCATTATGACGCAATCCCGCTGCTTTCTGGGAAATGTAGTTCATTTGTTTTCCAGCTGCGGAAAGATCTAGGGTTGCGGACTACCACTCCCGTGAGGTAGTGCACAGTCCCACCCTGTTCGCGGCGTCTTCGAACGCGCCGCGGCAGCCATGTTAGTCGTGGCCAGCACAGGGGCCGGCACCAGGGGGTAATCGAGGCTGCTGTCAGGATGCTGGCATCCCAGCTGTTGAGGAGGACGGCGCCGGCGCCGCGGCTCCTCCTCCGGCTTGTTAGGTCCTCGTCGCTTCAGAGCCTCGGAGGGGCCTCCAGGCGGAGCGTAACCACCGGAGACTGCGGGGAGCCTCAGTGGCCGAGAGCGTCCGCCGGGGGGCGCCCTTTAACATTGTCAGCTTTGCTCCCCGGACTCGGGGCACCCCCCTCGGGGCCCCTGGGAGGACGCTCCGAGACCCAGTGCCTGGCTGCCGCCACGTGGGGACGCCTTCCTATTCCTGAAGAAATACTCACGGGACAGGACAGCTGGAATGGGGTCCCTTGCAGAGCTGCGGTGGGCTTGTGGGCCCTGGCTATGGCGCTGGTGGTTGATTGCTACACCAAGAATCCGAACAGCAAGGGTGAATATGGTGCCAATCTGGGTCCGGGGAGGGTATAAGGGTAGCAAGAGTGTCCTGACAACTCCTCTTCGGAAGGCGAGTGGGGCTTAAAATTCAGACCCGCATAAACTCAGCCTTGGAGGGGAGGGACTCAGACGTCTGGTAACAGGGGTAGGGTGTTGAACCCGAGGGCTGACGGCTATGTTGAATACCCACTCATCCTAGGTCAGTCTTCCTTCTTTGGACATCGGTTTGTCTATCTGAACAATTGTGACTCTGGACTGCATATCTAATTACAGAGAGTCCTGTTATACCTGGCCTGTTAATCTTTAAAGAAGTCTATAGGAAGTTGTAGGTGACTTTCAAGGGTAACCACTACAAACTTTCAGGTTAACTTCACTAGCCTCAGTTTCTCCATTTAGTCTCCACATACTTAGTGAAGTTTCTCAGTACTCTTACAGAATTGTTATTTTACGCATCAGGGTCTGTCTAACAACCTCTAACGTTTTGGCTTTTCTTGATTCTTGATCTAGTTTCAGGCTTAAGCTGAACAGGCCACTTGGAATGATTGGCAGGAGAAAGAAGTTGGATGCATGGAGGCCTAGATCAGTGGGATAGGGGTGCACTGGAGTTAGCCTAGCCAGCTCAGCATCTCAGCTGGGTGTGTGGAGCTGAACAGGAGCTGGGAGGGTGACGCAGAAGGCCAGCTCTGTGGCCAGTGTGACCCCAGCCACTTGGGTCTTCAGTTGTCCTTAAGGAATATACTAAGGCATGATGTCCAGGAATTTCATGTGTCTTAAGCTCCCAGATTTTTGAGTATTGTTTTACACAGAAGATGTGGCCAGCTGTAAAAGGGCTTTAATTTTAGTCTTAACTCCTCATTGGTCCTTACTTAACTTTCTATAAAATAAGAGTTTGGACTTTTGTTGTTGTTGTTGTTGTGGGGCTTGAACTCTGGGCCTAGGAGTTGTCCCTGAGCTCTTCAGTTCAAGGCTAGCCCTCTACCACTTGAGCCACAATGCCTCCTCTGGTTTTCTGAGTGGTTTATTGGAGATTAGTCTCACAGACGTTCCTGCCTGGGATGGCTTTGAACCGTGATCCTCAGATCTCTGCCTCCTGAGTAGCTAGGATTACAGGCGTGAGCCACTGGTACAAGGCTAAGAGTTTGGACTTGTAAGCGCTTTTTTTTTTTTCTGTCAATCCTGGGGCTTGAACTCAGAGCCTGGGCACTGTCCCTGAGCTTCTTTTGCTTAAGGCTGGCACTGTACATTTGAGCCACAGCGCCATTTCTGGCTTTTTCAGTTTCTGTTTATGTAGTACTGAAGAATCAAACCCTGGGCTTCATGGATGCTAGACAAGAACTCTACCACTAAGCCACATGTGTCAGTGCTGGGGCTTAAACTCAGGGTCCTTGTGCTCTCACTCAGATTTTTCATACCTCTAATTCCAGCTCTTTGTTAATTGGAGATAAGAATCTTGAGGGTTTGTTTGCCCAAACTGGCCTCAAATATCAGTCCTCAGATCTCAACCTCCTGAGTAGCTAGGATTATAGGTGTGAACCACCAGTCCAGCTGAAGTGGGGATATTGAAATTGACTATGGATGCTTCTAGAGTATGCATTTTGTGATTCTATAATTCTCAGCATTTTGGGGCTCCTTAGTTATGCCTAATTTGGGATTAGGTACGTTAGAAGTCTTCACTTAACACAGTCAGCCAAGGAAAGGTGCTGACATGCCGAGCTGGAGACTAGTGCTAAGTGTAGTGTTGGAGGATCAGTGGGCCAGTTGGATCATGAAAGCCTGCCCAGAGTATTGGAGTACTTTGGAGGATGGGGAATTTGAACTTGGTTGTGTGTGTATGTGAGTGTATGTGCTTGTACTAAAACTTGGATTTAGGGCCTATTACTGTTCCTTAGCATTTTTACTCAAGGCTGACACTCTGCCAGTTGAGCCACATCTCCACTTCTGTTTTTTGTTGGTGTTGTTTTGTGTGTGTTTGTGTGTGTTGGGGGGGGGGGTTAATTGGAGATAAGAGTCTCAAGGACTTTCCTGCCCACACAGGTTCTGAACTGAGATCCTCATATCTCAGCTTACTGAGTAGGACTATAGGCATGAGTCACTGGCACCAGCCTGAACTTGAGTTCTGGGGGAGCGGGGAGCTGGGGGCGCTTGAACTCTGGGCCTAGGTGCTGTCCCTGAGCTCTTCAGTTCAAGGCTAGCGCTATAGCACTTGAGCCACAGGGCCACTTCTGGTTTTCTGGTGGTTAATTGGAGATAAGAGTCTCACCGACTTTTCTGCCCAGGCTGGCTTTGAATCACAATCCTCAGATCTCAGTCTCCTGAGTAGCTAGTATTACAGGCGTGAGCCACTGGTGCCTGGCTTTGAACTTGAGGATTGAAGGATGAAAAGAAAAGACACATTGAGTCCCATGAGAGCAGATTATGGGTTTTACTCGTAATACCAGAAAGTTACCTTTGATACCAGAAAGCACCTCATAGCTACACATCATTTGCTCACCAGTGACTGGAACATAAAAAGTATTTAGAAATGTTAGATTATATTCCATACAAGGGCTAGAGTGCAGTCAGCCTTGCGTGTGTAGCAGAATGGCCTGCTTGGGTGAAGGAAGAAATCTTCGGAAAATGACCGCAGATGCCGTAGGCCTGCATGCCAGGTAGGATGTTTTGGAATTTCCAGAGGCAATAGAGTTGCCACAGGTTTATAAGCAGGGACTGTCTAGAGGCTAGTGAGTTTGGATGAATTGGAGAAAGGTGTCCAAAGTGTTGTCTAAAGGGTTCCTGAGGTTCCAGACTGGATTTTGTAGCTTGTGAATTTCAGCAAAGCCCACTTACTAAAATAATGACCAATATCATGAGCAGGACCTACTCCTCTGCCTTGTCCTCACTTCTGCCCATTGACGTAGGGTTTTTACCTGGGGTTTTAAACTAAGTGCCTTAATGTGGTATAGTGGAAAGAGTCAGAGGCCTTTTCTTTTCTTTTCTTTCTTTTCTTTTCTTTTTTTTTTTTTTTGCCAGTCCTGGGACTTGAACTGTGGGCCTGGGCACTGTCCCTGAGCTGCTTTTGCCCAAGGCAAGCATTCTACCACTTGAACCACAGCGTCAGTTCCGGCTTGTTCTGCTTATGTGGTACTGAGGAATCGAACCCAGGGTTTCATGGGTGCTAGGCAAGCATTCTACCACTAAGCCAGCCACATTCCCAGTCCTGAGGAGGCCTTGGTTTTAATCTCAGCTCTTTCCTTGCCCTGTGTCCTTGTAGAAGTTGCCTTTTTGTCCCCTCATAATGAGTAGAGAGTGGATAAAACCATCTTGAAGAGGTTGTTCTGCCATCTGGAGGCTGCCTGCGCATAATTGGATGTATACTTGAAAAATAAGCAGGTTTGGTAAGCAGGAAGGACTTGTCACTGAGGCTTGGGCCAGGAGGTGGAATGGAGGCACCAGTGTCTGAAAAGAACTGGCTTGTAGGTACAATACTGGTGGTCAGATATGGAAACAGAGGTTTTGGAGCTTAGAGTTGGGATTGGAGGTAGGGCCTCCTCTCCAGTGCCTCCTTTAATTTCCCTGGGTGAGTATGACTGGAGGAAGAGCTCCCTAGGCAGGGCTCTATTAGAGTCAGTTTGGTGCTCAACACTGTTAGCAGAACAAACTGGGCATGGATGGAGGTGTTTTTGGTTGGATGTTTGTTGCTTCTGCTGAGTTTTTCTGTCAGGCAGTTTATTCCTCATGGCCACAAGGTGGTGCCAGTGGCTTTGCTTTTCTGTGGGTCTGTGGTTCTTGGCACCTAGGAGTTTGCAGACTTTTCAGCCATTGTTTTATCTGCTAGGCATCCTCGTGAGGCCCGCAAGGCAAGGGCTTATCTTCTCTGCTTTATGGTGTAGAAGTTATGGTTGAGCAGGAAGCACTGCCACCCCTGTGTGGTGAGGAGGTGGCAGTGGGTTGGAGCCAGGTCTCTCCATTTTGCCTAGTTTAGGCTCTCTCCATCTCCATTTGTAGAGACCCACAACCCCACCTTTTTTTCCCATCGTTTTCCTTCCTTCTGGGTTTGTAACTCATGACCTCAGATTCAGTACCAGGCCAGGAACTAGTGGCTCACACCTATAAGCTCAGCAGTCTGAGATATGAAAATCACAGTTCAAATCCAGCCCAGTCAGGAAATTCCCTGAGATTCATCTCTAATTAACTAACCAAAAAGCCAGAAGTGGAGCTGTGGCTCAAGTGGTAGAGCACTAGCCTTGAGCATATTTGTGCTGCATTCCCTTTGTGGTCAGAGAATGGAGTACTGATTTGGTACTGAGAATTTGGTTCTAATTAGGAAGGGCTGGTTACCCTGCTGTGGCATGATTTCTCTTGTTAAAGCCTGTGTTTCTAAAGTGCTTCCACCTGCAGAGGGCAGGCCCTGTCTTGCTGGGCCCATCAAGCAGCTCTGATGATTGGGTCCTGGCAGGGGTCTGACCAGTGCCCACTCTCTCTTCAGATGCAGCCCTGATGGAAGCTGCTCGAGCCAACAATGTACCAGAAGTTACCAGGTGAGTGTCAGTGCCCCAGCCTTGTTTTCTGCCCACAAGAAGGGCTGAGCCAGGTAAGCCCCTTTTCGAAAATCCTGTGGTAACTCTGTCTAGAGTTTCTGCCCTATGCAGAAACTGTTCCCTTTGCCTTTTTTGTAGTCTTAAAGTCACCTGGACTTCCTTGGCTAGGTCACCTTGGTGCTTTGGCAGGGGGGCAACCTCCAGGTATCCATAGATCACACCATAACCTGTGGGTCCTCTGGATCTTCCAGTTTGTTCTTATCCTTTGTGGAAGTGGCTCTGTGTTATGCTTGCTGTCTGGATCAGGTTGCTGGTGGGCTCTGCTGGAGCCACTTTGGGATTTAAGAGGAGGTAGAAGTGCCCTTTAGGCCAGAAGGTTATCTGTGCTAGACAGGCCTGCCTCCCGGGCTGAGGCACCCATGCTGAGCCTGCAGAGGGCAGACTCACTTCTCTAACCTCACTGGCTCAACTAGTCCCCTTGGACTTCTGGAGGTTGAGTTTGAGGCTGGTTATTGAGTAGAGGCAGGATTTATCTGGGTTCAGCCTGGTGCCAGGGCTAGGACAGAGGCTTCTGGGATGGGTGTTAAGACTGGGACCAGCACAGGATTATTAGAGGCTGTTGATTAGAGAAACTATTGACTCACTTTGTGCCTCACTATGGCCTCTTTGGCTCTTTGAATAGATTTAGGTGGCCATAGAATACCCTCCTTCTCTGTCTTGCCTACACATACATGCCACTCATGCTCTCTCTCTCTTGCTGTCTCTCCTCTCTCCTACTTCCTCTCCTCTCCCTCCCTCCCTTTCTCTCTCCTTCCTTTCTCTCTGTGTTTATACAGAGGCTTGAACTCAGGCCCTTGTGCTCTCACTTGGATTTTTTTTGTTTTTTGTTTTTGTTTTTGCCAGTCCTGGGGCTTGAACTCAGGGCCTAGGTACTGTCCCTAAGCTGCTTTTGCTCAAGGCTAGCACTCTACCACTTGAGCCACAGCGACAGTTCCAGTTTTTTCTCTTTATGTGGTATTGAGGAATCGAGCCCAGGGCTTCATGCATGCTAGGCAATCACTAAGCCACATTCCCAACCTCACTTAGGATTTTTGCTGAAGGCTATGACTCTAGAGCTGGAGTCATGACTTCAGTTGCAGCTTTCTGCTAGTTAATTGGACATAGGAGTCTCAGATTTGTCTGCCTGGACTGGTTTTGAACCTCAATCCTCAGATCTTGGGCTCATAAGTAGCTAGGTATACAGGAGTGAGCCATTAGCTCCCCACTCCCTGTGTTTTTGTTTTTGTGTTTTGGGGGTGGGGAGGGGGGTCCAGTGGTGGGGCCTGAACTCTGGGCCTAGGTGTTGTCCCTCAGTTCTTCAGCTCAAGGCTAGTGCTGTACCACTTGAGCCACAGTGTCACTTCTGGCTTTTTCCTTTTTGCTTATGTGGTGCTGAGGACTCGAACCCAGGGCCTCATACATGCAAGGCAAGCGCTCTACTACTGAGCCACCTTCCCAGCCCTGTGTTTTGTTTTGAGAAAGGGTTTCATTGTGTAGCTCAGGCAGTCCTTGAACGGATTACATAACTTTCCCGTAGCTCAAACTCACAATCTTGGTGTCTCAGCCTCCTGAGCAGTGAGGTTTTAGGTGTGTACCACCACATGGCATCACATACATATTTTAGACAGGAAGTCTAAAGACAGGATGTTTGGAGTGGTTATCTATGCCACAGACCCATGGCAGTCTTTCCTACTCTGGCTGCCTGAACATACAAGAAAAGTGTTGAAAGGCAACCACAGCTCCACCAAGACTTACTGCTTTGATTCCCTTTCATTTTATCTGCAGCATTATTATTGATTCTCAAGGGTGCTTTTGAGTATTAATGTTCAAGGCTTAGTTTTTAATAAACCACTTTTGGAAGTATGGGCTGGGAGTTGTTTTGTAGCCAAATAAATAAGATGGAGCAATAGTTTAATAAACATGCAATGATGCATCTTAAAAACCAAGCACAGATGTCATCTTCCTGTTATAAGAGCCATTCATAACTGCAGGCTGTGTGTGGCATCTTCATCCCCCAGAAACAGATGCGCCTGTCTTTATTTCATTAAAGGAGTGTTGGGCAGGAGCATTAGGGTAGAAACTGGTCCAGGCTAATGTTAGAATCACCTGTCAGTACTGCCAAGGACTGTCCTCCTTCCTGCCCCCAGGGGCTGTGATCATCTTGTGGTGTCCCATTTCCCCCCCACCCCCCAATGTATATAGCATTCTTTCAGGAAAGCACTTGACTCACCTTGCCAGCATCTGGAGAGATGATCTTTAATCCTAGTCCATTGAAATATTCCCCTCCCCCACAAGTGGGTTTTTTTGGGTGTGTGTTTTGTTTTTTTAATTTTAGCTCTTTCAAATATAGAGTTTTATAATTTTTTGTTTTGTTTTAAAGATGAATGCTCATTATATCTGGCTTTAAACTTGCCATGTGGCCCAGGCTGGACTTGAATCAGAAATCCTTCTGCCTCATCCTCCCAAGTGCTGGGATTAGAAGCATGTGCCACTAGGCACAGCAAATTCATGTTTTTCTAGTGGCCATTAAACACATATATGCAGGCTACAGAAAGTGATGGAATTCATGGTATATATGTGACTCAAAGAATTGTTGCAGCTGGGTACCAGGTCTCATGCCTGTAATCCTAGCTATTTAGGAGGCTGAGATCTGAAGATTGAGGTTCAAAACCAGCACGGGCAGGAACAAACATCCATGAGACTCTTATCGCCAATTAACCACCAGAAAACTGGAAGTGGTGCTGTGGTTCAAGTGGAAGAGTACTCGCTTTGAGCTGAATAGTGCAGGGACAGCACTCAGGCCCAGAGTTCAAGCCCCATGATTGACCAAAAAAAAAAAAAATGGTGGCAAACATTTCACTCTTGCTGGTGTGGGTAATGTCTGTGGGAGCTTTTCATGTGTGCTCCCAGTCTCAAGCCTGCTTTTCTTCTGCCTTCTCTGGTCCCTACCCCTTGGTCAAGATGACTTCATCAGAATTACCCAATGGAGTGGCATAGATCCTGCTTTCAGTCCCTATCAGAGCAGGGGATAAGCTAAGCCAAAGCAAGAGGTAGGCTGGCTGCTCTGCCTCTTCCCTCTTTTTCCCTGTGTGACAGTTATTTCCTCTTCCTCCCCGAGGCACCTACACCTAGTAAGCTTATCCAGCCCTGGCCCTCCCCAGAGGTAGGAAGCCACCCCCTACCCTACCAGTTGGCAATGTGAGCAGGTGGCCCTAAGTTCAGCCCAAACCTGAGCTTGGCTTTTGGACTGTGAAACTGCTCACTTGAGACAGAGGGCATGGGGCAGACTGAAACACATCTGCCTCAGCTCAGGCTGAGCCATGACTGTCAGATGGGAGAGTAAGGCCTCCCGTTCTCCAGAGGAGATCATGTTCCCTGCAGGTCCAGCTGCTGAAAGAGGACACTCCTACCATTCCCCTTTTCCTTCAGGGAGATGGGCCCAGTTTAGCCATCAATCAGTCCAAGGGGGTTGTAGTGAAGGTGGTATCAATCTTGGACCTGTACCAACTGCCCTCTCTTTTCACAAATGTTCATTTGACCAACATTTACTGTTACTTGGCGTAAGCTGGGTCCCATGATCAGCTCAGGGAATATATGATGAGGTATAATTCTTGCCTTGATGACAGAGTTTGGATAGCTTGTGGCAGCAGTGTGATATTGGCTGAAGACAGGCGTTCAGGATCTACAAGAACTCAGAAGGTGTCTTTGAGTAGTGTAGGGAATTAGGAAAAGTTTCCTAGAGGAAATGATTCCTGGTTAGAGTCTTAAAATATCAGTGGGCTCAGCAAATAGGGAGAGGGACAGCATGATGGCTGTAGAGGAGGGAAATGCTGTTTGGTGTGTCTGACAGGTAGGGTCAGGAAGGGCACTGATGGACTGTCTCTCAGTTGCCCATCTTTCCAGCCTGTTCTCTGTGTATAGCTCAGAAGTGAATTCAAGGGAAGGAGTGTGGCAGCAGTGAGGAAAGCCATTGCTGCTTTAGAAGAGCTCAGGTCTCCCTTTGTAAGAAAAGAGGACTTGAGTCAAAACAGTGCATAAATTACCTTACTTGCATGAGCCTAAGTAATGTTAGTACCTATAACCCATGAATTATATAGTCACAAGTGATTTTCAGAATGAGTGGCTGAGCACCAAATATGCAGTAGTGAACAAGATAGCCACAGTCCCTGCCCTCTTGGTACTTAAATAAATGGGAATCAGGTGTCTAATTTTGGAATAGTTATAAGTTAGAATTATGTACTTCAAAAGTGAGATATATAGCCAGGCACCAGTGGCTCATGCCTGTAATCCTAGCTACTCAGGAGGCTGGGATCTGAGGATCATGGTTCAAAGCCAGCCCTGGCAGGAAAGTCTGTGAGACTCTTATCTCCAGTAAACCACTCAGAAAACCGGAAGTGGTCAAGTGGTAGAGCGCTAGCTTTTAGCTGAAGAACTGAGGGACAGTGCTCAGGCCCAGAGTTCAAGCCCCACGACCAACCCCCCCCTCAAAAAAAAAAAGTAAAATATAGAGCCAGATGTGGTGCCTGTAATCCCAGCATTCAGGAGGCTGAGGCAGGAATGTTTTAAGTTTGAGGCAAGCCTGGGCTACATAGTAAGACCCTTTCTCAAAAAGAGAGACTGTGTTATGAAATGGTAACCTCTCTGTACAGCACCTTAATAATAGCACAGTTACTGGGCTGGGAAGGTGGCTCAGTGGTAGAGCGCTTGCCTTGCATGCATGAGGCCCTGGGTTTGATTCCTCAGCACCACATAAGAAAAAAGCAAAAAAAAACAAAAAACAAAAAACAAAAAAAATAATAGCACAGTTATATTTTTAAAAAGAGATAATGTATGTGTAACACATACATATAGATTGTCATTTTGTTTTAATTTTTTTTGCCAGTCTTGGGGCTTGAACTCAGGGCCCGGCCACTGTTCCTGAACTGCTTTTGCCCAAGGCTAGCACTCTACCACTTGAGCCA